ACTGCTCAACAAGACACGAATTTTGTGAGTGTAGCACCGATAACAGAGAGCTTACAATTATTAACCGTAGCCCCTCTACCGTGATCTGCCAATAGCAGAGCGAATGTGATCTCTGAAATTAATATTTCGTCCCTGGTTTTCTTTCAGACGCTTGAAAGGACTGGCAGAGCAAAGTTTTCAGGATTTTCTCCTTACGTAACTCGAATAGAAACAGAATTTTCTTAAAACGTTCCCCACGAAGTCAGTTCTTTGAATACAGATAACCTCGACTGCTTTGTTGTAATAACATTGTTACTGTAACACTGCTGTCAGCCTGGAAATAGAACAAGGCACTTTTTGCATTCAATTTGGTAAACGTAACCGAAGGATTAAAGTTATTTAAGTTATAAAGCATAACGATTTACATGGAAAGTTATTAAGATCTCTGAAATGCTTGGTTAAAATTTTGTCGAACATTTGTGTTACAAATCAACGGCTGATCAGCGGGCGAGTGGCAACACCGATGAACGCTGTTAGTTTGACCTGTGTTCAAATCTAGGCGAACGAGCTGGCTGCTTCAGGGTTTTCGCAATCCCCCTCCGGTGTGACACGAATAGGAGCTAGTTTCGTATAGAGAATTCTTCGCAAAGGCATTCTTGCTATTAAACAGCTAGCCATGATTAGCTTTCCTGTAATCCACCCAACAGAATTCAATAAATAAAGATCAAATTCTTATGCAAAATGCATCAATAATGCTTTAAACGTTTTACTGTGACTAGCTGTAAGGCCAAGAAACGTTTAACATTCAACAGAAATATTTTAATACAGAATTAGATAAGAATGCTAAAAGGTTTTCAAAAGTCTCCAGAGAATTTCGTCAACCAGAGACATAACTCTCGTATTCTGGTCAAGAATCTTGACAAAAAATTGCTGCCTGTATAGGCTCTAAAGCAGAATCAACGTCTAGTAATATGATAAGTCGGAAAAGAAATCTATCGGTTTCAACAAACGCATAAAATTGCAATGGCTTTGCTAACAAATACTGCAAAGTGACCTTGATTAGTCTTCCATCATCGCAAATACGCCAGCGATAGAAGCGAAGTGGAGGAATTCTGTTCAGAGTGTAGTTGAAGAGAGATAAGATTGAAAATAAAGAAAAGGAGGAAATATTTTCTCAATGCCCTATATTTGAAGATAGAAAAGTTCTGAAATTCTTTTGGCGCCGATTGTTTTGTGAGTCTGTAATAAAGGACAAAGACACAATTTATAGAATGGGCTGTCTTTTCTTCTCTCAAACTTTTCGTTCAAATTTTACGAAGAGCGAGAGAGAGTTTTTTTGCCCTTAATTTTTTCCCTATTGATTATTTTTTCATCACAGAAAAAAAAAATATTGTTAAAAGTTTCATTTTTAAAAACTTGAAGAAATTATACTAAAATGGTTAGTTCTTAATACATGAAACAGCAGATTTTCTTAAATATAAGGTACAGAAAATTCAATCATTTTTCGTCTATAAAATCTACAGTAGTTTTAAAAAGGTTTTAGATTTCAGAAAACAGGAAAACCTGCAATGAAAATTAATTAAATTCCATTAAAAGCTTAAAAATATTTCATTTTCCCTTCTTCGCAAAAAAAAAATTATTTGCATTTTTCATTGAATCATCAAAAATCGACTTTGGTCATTTAGACTGATTTGAATTGCATTTGAATATTAAAATCACTGTAAAAATTGCATATATCTACATTTTTAGCATTAGAAGTTAGTTCCCAAAGTCAGATTTATTTTCCTTACCTTATAGCGTTTCGTTTCTTTGCAAGCATAAAATGTGAGAAATGTTGGAGACGATAAGGGAATTATCACTACGTCTTGTAAGTTACCACAGGGACAGAAAAAGAGTGTAACGGTTTTATTTAACTCATTTCAAAGTTGACAGAAGACACCACTCCTGCATACAAAATATATAACCAGCTGTTACGGCGTAAAGGAAATATAAATAATTTATCTTAACTTAGTAAGTTAGACTAACGTCTACACAGTTAAGTTGGCTCTGATTTAAAGGTTGGCGTGACAAGTCTAATGGCGAGAATAACGTAACGCCGCGGGATAATAAGGAAATAATTTAGCAGCGTGGCCTTCAGCAGGCAGAAAACGCTCTTATTCTACACTGTAAAACTTTTCTTTAAATACTCTCTTTTTATTCTTTCTATCTTAATTGAATGTCAAGCGAGCTAACAATTTAGATTATCGCAGGAAAATGGAAATGAGGAGGATAGAAAATCTGATTAACATAGAATGACTGGTTAAAGAACAAAAGCGATACCATACAGCCTTCGGCTTTCCTTTTCCTCGTAATTCTTGTCTCACAATTATTCTAATTATCATTTAAAATCTCATTTAGTTCTGTAAGACTTATTATGAAGAGTCAATACAATGCTGAAGAAAAATAACTATCATTTGGTGGTCCAAAAGGGAGAACTTTAACCGGCTAGTTCGCTGGTTGATTGACTATGGCAAAGCGTGTGAGGTAAACTTTTAAGTAGACAACATGTCTTCGTGGAGAGTTTACGAGGTCTCCCTCCTTTCCGCATGGCTTGTGGTGTAACTGCAAGCAAGCTCGAGGCATATTCGGAAGATTGGAGTTTTAATACCACTGAAGCATGCACATTTGTCGCGTTCCTGTATCCATATAACCTAAAGACTCTACGGTCTTTTAAAGGAAACAGGTTCGTATCAAATTTAATATACCAAGATTACTATGCTAAAAAGCTTTTTCTTGTATGTTATCACTCACCTTTAGTTTACTCAAAAGGAACTTCTTCCCTTCTCCCTCTATTTCTTTGTTCCGTCCCTTCTCCCTCTGCGTGACGTCACGAGCTTACTACAGTTCGAGCTTACTGTAGTAAGCTCGTGACGTCAACGCTGGGAACAGCCTAACCTTGTTTGTCTACTGATCTTTACTTGTATTAACATTACGCGGGGGAAAAACGGAAAGCAGCCAGGCCGCTCTAAGGAAATTGAATCTGGCATGAACTATTAATGATCAATAGCATTTTCTTTCATGTACTGGTGAGCTTTCGTTGTTGGCATATTGAGAAATTCGGCATTGCCCGCATACCCGTCTATATTCTTTTAAAAAAAAGTGAAGAAACGAAACTTCAATACCTGAGTTTCATATCTGGTTAATCCTTCATCTTTTCTTTGAAATAGTTTCCGTTATTATTGTTCCTTCAGTTACCTAAAGTTTAAACTGCATGTTTGAGGTCTCTGGTGACCACGCACGCAACCAAATACTCCTGTTAGTATTCGAGAACTCGACTTTCTGCTTACATTGACCATACTTTCTTCAGTGTCAAAGCAAAGCTTGATTCCTGTTGTACAGATTGTTTACAAGTTTTTTTAACGATTTTGGTCCTTCGAATGAACTAGACACCCATTCTCAATGGGAGGGAAAGAGAGAGTTTATGGATTATTTTAGCCTAAGTTGAAATTGATGAAATTTCAACTTGGGCTAAAATAATCCATCAGCATTTGAAAAGAATGAAGAATTTACTTATGGCATAAATTGTCATAAGCATAGCTGTCGTAAGCAGATACCGGAAAAGAGTGTAAAATTAAGAAAAAAAAAATGTCATTAATTTAGGAATATTTACTTAAAAAGTTCACCTTACAAAATGCAGTACAGGTAAGTTTAATTAGAACTCTGTAATTTGTACGTGCTATATTTTGATTAGCAGTTCTTAGAGCAATGACGTTTTACAGAACCTGAAGGACACGACATAATTGCAGAAGCTGAAATAGTGACCTTGTATATATATATATTTGAAACTTCTTTGTCAGAGGAAAAAATAAAACATAAGGGTTACAGCGAATATTTTTCTTCAAAATTAATATAAATTCTGTCTAAACTTGCAGGCAGATATAACTTTTGCATTTGCCTGTTTGCACAGATTTTTCTATGTCAAATTTTCCGTGTCCGTCTTTTTATACAGCTTCCTATTTTACAGTTTAGCAAAATTACGCGCTAAAGCCATTCACAGTTAATTGGCTTTGAATGTATTTGTTAGAACAAATACCTAAAGCATTTTCTAGTCTGTCTGTATTTCCAGTTATTAAAGATTAAGCATCAGATTCATTATTACATAAAATTCAATTTCGCACTAAAGCAAGGTTCTGCTAATATTACTTTTAAGCATGTACCAAAATATTTCGTAAGCATTTCATGATTATGCACAGTGAAAAATTAAAGTAAAGAAATTTAAACGAATAAATACAATTCAATCAAATATCAACGTCTTAAAGAGGTTGGAATTATTTAATACTAATCAGATTGTATATCTGTTAGTGGATGGATTAAGACAAGATAATCATACACTGTTTTTTATTGACTCGTGATTTCCTCATTTTGCGTGTAAATACAAGTACCAAAAGGATTTGTTAGAACAAATACCTAAAGCATTTTCTAGTCTTGAAAATTCTTTAATGTTGATAAGCAGTATCTGATTTACATATTAAATCAGGTAGAAAGTGCTTCATTTTGAATAGTTACACTGATACTCTAGGTTTTTAGATATATTGAAGTAAATATTATCAACATAAGCCACAGAAGAGAGATGGAAAGAATGTAAAGTATTAGTGTAAGACCTAGTTCAGATGATTCAGTTGTCACTTTATTTGATTGATTAAGTTTCATTGCAATTGCAGTTTTAATGGATGAACAGTAATGCAAGGTACTGTCATTAGCATCACATAAGAATGTTATAAAGATTAATTTTTTAAATGACATAATTTCGAGATTTTTCTAGCAACTATTTGAGCGAGGGGGGAAATAACCAAACTGAAAGGCGAGGTAAAGGGCTGTTAAACTGAATCTAAATTTACCTTACTAATTTTTTATATGTAATTTGAATGACGAAAACTTAAGTTCAAATAACCTGAACCTAATAACCATGAACGTTGCATTAATTTAGTCAAAGTAATTAAAGGGAAAAAATTGGTTCTAAATTGCAAATTTTTTCTTTATACTGAGAGAGTATATTTTTACCAGTATAACCTTCCTTGCATAAGCAAGAAAATCCGCCTTCTCGTCTGATGCAAGTGCCTCCTTCCAGACAAGGATTGGAGTAGCAAAGATTCACTTCAGTGTCACATTCATACTTGTGCTTCATTCCTATAAACGCAATAAATTGTTACTGAAATAAGCTAAAAATAAATTTAACTACAAAAACATTACCAGTCAAATAAAATTCCTAATATTCTTGTTGATCATTCGTCTCTTCCCACAGATCCCCACAATTTCAATTTTATGGCAAATAAAATTTTCGTATGAGTTATTGAAATTATTCTGAAAATCCGAGCATTTATTGAACTAATGTGCATTAAAGAAACTCTCAAACACATTTCGTTGACTAAAGCATTGCATCACTAAATATCACTTGAATGGTTGATAGTAGACACACGATATGTTTCCAAATTTTTATAATTTTGGTCACGCTTAATGAAAATATACCAAACAAAATTTCTATACATTTCACAAAAGGAGTGAAAGGTTAATGAGAAAAATGTCTTTTATAACTGAATTAACTGAACAAAAATTATGTGTTTTCATATGATCAAAATTACCCGTGAATACATTAAATATTTGGGTAGAGTAGACTTTAAGGTACCCCTTTTATTATGGCGAAGTTGTTGTTTGATTATCGACAAGTTGTTGTTTCATTTATGGTAGCCTGAGTAGTAGTTGAATGTTATGGAAACCCTATTGTGACGTAATCGGGTGCATGACATGGATCTTATAAGAGATAGACTAACCCAGTGGGCGGGGGCGCGCGTCACCGACATGTCGGCAAGAAAGAGTAGGGACGATCTGGTTTACTTTAACACTGAAACCTATGGCGTTTGCATCACATAACTCTTTTTAATTATTAAATGTGATACGTTCTATAGTGATGAGATTTTGAAAGCCACAGTTTTTTCCAAATAGGATTTAATATATCTCATTAAAGCACTTTTTACTGCATTTCGCGCATTTTTTTCACGCGTTATTCTTGTACAAACATCTTTACTTTGGTAAAACGGTAGGCACAAAATTTATGAACTTAATTTTGCGTACAAATAACGAAAAATTAAATAAGATTGGTAATATGAGATGCTTTGAAATAAATAAGGTAAAATTAAACAAGATTTGATATTTTTTTTTTTTAATTTAATGAACATTTTCAGGCAGTGATTTTTCAAACTATAATAACATTACAAAACGATCAAATTTATTTGATTATATGATCATTAAATTATTAACATTAAAGTGGATTAGTTATTTTAATAATTCATAAAATTTTCTGAGCGTAATGAAGTTGTGTGTGTGATTATGGCAAAGCCTCGAGGGCTATCTGCCTAAGGGGAGGGAGCCTTCGTGGAGGACTTTCTAAGGGAAACTGACTCGTATACACGTTACACATGGGGAAACCACGAAAACGCCCATGCAGCCAGCCCGTTCGCGGGATTCGAACCTCGGACCGAACTACCAGTGTTCAGCGACTTTACCGCTCGGCCGCTGGTGGGCGAGCGTAACGAAGGAAAAAAAAAAAGATAAAATAAAATCTAGAAGCACTCCTTTTTTTAAAGTTTTGTGTGTTACCTATATTTATTGAATATCATGTTCTTCGCCCGTAAACCACATACATTTGAAAACAGCATATCTTTAGAATTTCCGCACTGGAGATAAAACTGTTATTTTCCGTACAGTGCTCGCTCTGAACTCGTTGAGTTTGTTAATCAGAAATTCGTTAAGTTTTACAAAATATGAAATATATTAAAACAAATTCGAAATTCGGCCGTCCAGATGTCTATGTTTGGGTGGAGGATTACATTATTCAAAATTTGATGGCTCTAGATACTGTCGTTTTTGTCACAGTGCGAGAAACATACATGTATTTATGCAGATTCTTCATTATTTAATTTCTTTGCATATAATACAGGGTGATAATATTTGGTAACAACAATTTGCATGGAGACACGGACATTTATAGTAAAACAGCGCAAAATGCCGCTCACTAACAGCCTTTCTAGGCTACCTCCCCTTTAGGCTAATAAATTAAATTAACAGTAATAGAAAAAAATTTATGCAGAACTAAAAATAAATTTAAAAAAAAATCAATATAAAATACAAGCAAAATCAATTATTACGGTTTTAAATACAATTTTAATATTAGAATTAAATGTATAAAATTTTAAGGAGTCAAAGGTGTTTATCACTATGATGTATTATGAAATATTATTGAAATAAAATTCCTTTATAGAAATTGTGCTATAATACTCATCTATAATTTTAAGAAGCAGCACAATTTAGAATTTTAAACAAAACTTTCAAAATTCGTTTTTAAATATTTTAGTGTTTTTTACTTATTTACACCAATAAAAAAGCATAAAAATTGCAAGAGAAAATTTTCTATTAGTTCAGATTTATAATATTTTTCTAAAAGAAGTATTTAAAATTTCCTTACAGCATAGGAAAAGCTAAAAAAATATCCAGTCGTGAAAGCATGCAATAGCTTTATAATTATTTGGAATGTTCATTATGCTTGATAAAAATATGCTAACTTTTAAAAATCAATCTCAATTTCAAAAATAAAAATATATAGAAATTCATGTTGTGAAATGAGGCGCGCTACACCCAGCTTTTTCTGACAATTATACACGCTGCAATAGGCAACCAATGTTAAATTTCTGCATCTCGTCCCTACTCCTCCCGATGTGATCAAGGTGACAGCCGGCAACGCCTCAGACGAGGGAGAAAACCCGTTTGGATTAGTCTATTTCTTATAAGGTCCATGGTGCATGATTCTGGGAAATTTTGAATCATGGGATGTTTTGTAAGCTTTTTTGTGGTATGTGTTGGTTTGATTCTTTAGACGGTAGAATGGCCGAATGTAGTAAGATTAATTTGAAGCAAAAGGGGAAAAGAGCTTTAATTGACTGGTGTGTAAATGAAGGTTTACTTAGTAGCCATTATAAGTGTCCTGTATGTAGGAAGGATATGCGTCTAGTCGAATGTAAAAAACCGCTTAGATGGATTTGAATGGGTTTGTAGGAAGAAAGGTTCAGATGGTCACTATGTGAAGCGTTCGATCAAAAAGAGTACCTGGGTTTGAAAAAAGTCGTTTGAGTATGATTGATATTTTGATTTTTACGTGGCTCTGAGTGTACGAAGCGAAATCGAAAATCATGGTAAGTGAATATTTGCTTTTGGTAATGCCTAAATGTATAACATGTTTTCCTTTTTTTATGTTATTTCATTGTTTGGTTTAAAATGTATTTTATTGAGATTATGTATTTTTTGCTTGCCTATATTGTAGAATTTGGTGCTCCTTTGACTTTTTAAGTGAAAATATATCGATGTGTACATGGACAAAGTAAAGGGAGTGCGCCATGCAAGTTTGTGCAATTCTGGGATTTTTTTAAGTGAAAATAGGTTGGCGTGTACTTGGATAAAGTTAAAAGAGTGCGCAATGCCATTTTTGTGCAATTTGGGGATTTTTTTCAAGTGAAAAAAGTCGATGTATACATGGATACCGAGTTTGTGCAATTGTTTATCTTGTTATTTTGGCTTTGTGTAGCGGCGATTTTTGGCGCAAAAAATCGCAAGCCAAAATAACGCGCGCGCTTCGCAAGCCAAAATAACGAGTCGAAGAATTCCACAAAATCGGTATCCATGTACCGCCAAAAATCGCCAAGGGGTACCCTAAACTATACTTTTACCAAATATTTTAAGAATTCTATGAAAATCTTCCTACAGAGAGTTATACATGTAAAGCTTTTGACTGCAAATTTCTAAATACATCTCTTGAGTCAAAAAACATTAAAGGGTTTCCAAATTTCCATTTGCATAATTGCTAAAATTACCCTTCTTTTTCAGACTGAAATTCAGTTTTTATACAAGTCTTGAAATCAACATTTTCGCTTTTCGTTTTACTAAGTGAAAGTGGACGGTCATTTAATTTTACAACACTAAATTTCCGTATAACAAAACAGAATTTTCTTCTAAAAGATCTTTGATAGGGTAATAAACAACTTATTATTTGGAACTTTTTGGTAGAGCCGCCGTATAAAAAATTTTAATTTCTTATATTTTCGCTGGAAGATATCACATGACCAAATTACTGAAGTCCGAAGACTTACCTCATTCCTTTCTTAAAATAGAACTATGAAACTTGATTCATGTTTTAAAATGTAACCATAAGCTTAGATCCATTCCTTAAAATTGAGCCATGAGCCTACAACCAGTCATTCAATTTGCAATTTAGTACTGCAATCATTTTTAAAATCACTGTACATACGTTTTTCTTAAAATCAAATACAGAAGAAAAGCTAAGTACACTACTTCGAAACTGCATTCGGCAATGAAAGTAAGTAAAGATGTTAATACCTGTGAAACCAATAGGGCAGATGCAAGCAAATGTGTTGATGGGAACGATGGACCTAAAAAAGTACATATCAGAAGAAATGAAATCAGAAGCATTACTAAACTTAAGAACTGACAGACACTGTTCAAAATTAATACAAGGCTCTTGAACACATAAATTATCTTCAAATGGCAGCACCTACAAAACAGAAAAAAGTATGTAACTAAATGAATTTTACGAAATATATCAATAAGTCTAAATATACGCATAAAACAGTAAGTCAAATTCTCGAAACTTAAAGTAAAAGAAAATTTATTAATTGTAGACTCAAGTCTTAAAGTGAAAGGTGAATAAATTAAATAAAATTTTAAATAATATTGCTAAAAGTTTTGATAGTCGGATCATTTTAAGAACTTCCAGATTGGGAAATTAAGAAAACAACAACGCAAGCACACGAAGCAAAACCGTTAAATATATATAAAATAGTTTTGCATGTAAATATATTAGAGTATAAAAATACAGAATACTATTATAGCTAAACAAAGTAATTTTTTATTTAATCGGTTTTACTTCTCGTGTCATTCCTTCCCATTTCATACAAATAATTTATTGAAAGGAAAAATCCATATTAAATTAATCATACCGAACGAAATGAAAGCGAAAAACAGCAAAAAAAAAATAAATAAATAAAAATAAAAAATGAAGACTTTAGCTATTCCGATTCGAAAACAATTAAGAAAGTCGAAACTGGTTGGGATGCCCCATGGAGGTCGTTTAAGGGAAACTGGCTTTTATCGACGTTACACGTAAGGGAAAACCACGAAAAAGCCCATACAGCTAGCCCGTTCTCCGGGACTCGAACCCCGGACCGAACTATCAGTGTTTGGCTTTTACCGCTCGGCCGCTGTTGGGCCATTTTTGTGAGTTTGGTAAACAATTTTAAGTTTGGTAAACATTAGAAACATAGGAAAAGAAAACATACTTTACAATTTAAAATACAAATTTGATTTATTAAATAAGGATTATGTCATACATTAAAAAAATTAAACACTTACATTCTTCTTCGAATCATTCTGTATTTTTTTTTCCGTTATTTTTCTCCGAAGTACACAACGATCTTTTTTCACTTAAAAAAAATCAGAGAATTGCGGAGACTCGGCCTTCTTCAATCTTCGAGAACAGCAGCTATCTAGAAAATGCATTCCCTCATTTCGAAAATTATCAGCAAAATTCTGTATTACTGCAGAAATAGTTTCTTCCATTCCTGGCGAATTCCGCAAACTCATACTTTGAAACCAAGCTTAAGGCAAAAAATAGCACGATTTTTATATGAAAACCGTTGGAATTTGGAATACAACAAAATAGAACACATACGAAAACGGCCGCGTTGCTTGACTGAAACGATTGTTATAAGCAGTTGCCAGAGTTTGGCAACTTCTAAAAATTTGGCTACTCCTAATAAGATGGTTTCGATAGTACGTAAGTACCGAAAAAAAATGTCTTAAGTAACATGCAAATCTGGCCTTGGAAAGAACTGCAAAAATTTTATGATTTAAATCACTTTTACTCCATGAAAAGGTGTAAAGTATTTTCGTCCTCTTCACCGCGTGCTTTCGTGGCGTAATTGGATAGCAAGCCCGGCTAATATCGTAAAGTCCGAATTTCAAGTCCCGGCAAGGCTGCGCATTTTTCTGTTTCCTGGCTTCAAACAAGTTTAATTGACTATATACGAAGGTAAAAAAGTATCGTATACAAAAATTAATTTCACTCGCGAATAGAATTTCTACAAATTAAAATTTGAAACGCATACTTCTACATCAATGTTTTTTCTGACGGGAAAAGCAGTTTTCAGAAACTTTGAAAATTTTATGTACGTTAAATTCTATTCAGCAGTTCATGAATATGATCCTAAAACAAATTTCAGTTATCAGTAACTCTGTTAATTTTAAGCTCAAGAACTGTTACAAAAACTAATTTTGCTGTTGGAAACCATTTTTCTTATCGATATCTTTGACCCGTATAATGGATAGAGGCCCGCATAAAACTTTCCAGACTTTTTCTAAAGGTGTCACGTTACTAACATTTTCGCAATTTGTACGCTTACCTTATTCGATTCATTTCTTAAATTGACAACATGAGTCTACGATAATTGTTTAAGAGGTAGTTTTGAAACACACTCGATTGCAATCTTTTGGATACTTTCGATCTCTTCATTCCATTTACTTTATTAACTATATTCGAGTATAAAAATGTTTTGGTTGTAAGGAAGAAAACGAAACTTTTGGTTGCTAGAATCTTAAAGTATTGGGCGAATTTCCCTTTCTAAAAATTTAAAAAAGGTCAGATAATTCAAATTAGTTTTCTTATCCGATGTACAAGAATTCCTTATCATCCAATAAATTTCTAAACCTATTTAAAAAGAGTTGAATGGACAGGCTTTCCTATTGCATCAACAATCAGGAAGGAAAATTTCATTCGCCTCCATTTTTACTATACATAATAGAAATTTCCAGAATTCAGCATCACCTCTGACTAATCAGCGCAAATAAAATCGCTTAGCAGGTTTGCCCTCAAATGTAGTCGGCCAAAAATAATGGAAACGGAAACAGCAGTCAATAAAATGGCCTTGTCTTTATTTCAATCTTTTTTAATCCACATGTAGAGAAAGAGTATAGCTTCCGGCAATGTTTAAAAGGTAAAGGACTAAACTTACAATATGTAAGGTGTAATAAGACACAGAAAATTAATAATGTTCAAATATTTAAACACATGTAGAGAACTGTAAATATATATAAAGGAAAATGCTCTACGGGGGGGTCTTCAGTAAAGAAAGTACGCACTTCTCTGCAGTTTACTTGTTACAATAAGCCCAATAGTTGTATCCATTTGAAGTCCTTTTCGGTAATATGAAAAAAATTTGAATTTTCCAACAACTTTCTTAAGTTGCGTGTTGGCCTATGTATGTATTTCTATGGTACAACTTGGACTAGTTGATATTATGCTTTGTCTTTCATGATAATGTAGTATATCTTACTGCCGTTTTTCAAACTGTTTTTGAACATTTGGTTTTTGGTTGTCATTTCAAAATACATGTCCAACTCTACTTTTGTTTTAAGTATGTTTTTCATTGCTGCTATACTTAGGGCAGAATTGGCTGTTAGACACCATAAGCACTTAAAAGAACCCATATACATTTATAGGTATTTTTCTCCCACTCTCTCGGTCTTGGTTTAGCAGCACAATTCCGTAGTAAAGCCAGCAACGGACATTTCTTATGGTGGTCTCTTTTCTTCGAGTTCCTAATAATCTTTTTTGTCATACACCCTTTCATTGATGCCCTAAGCACGTGCCTATTTTACTTAATGGTTATTCCAGCTCTGGCTATACTTTAATGATACAGTAACCAATTGCCCAATTTTCATATCCTGAACTTTTGTTTTTAACTGGCATCGAAATGTCCTGTGTACAATTTTCTTTCTTATGCTCATCTCTTATTGATCACGCTTGCAGGAAAATTAGTGGATAAAATCACTGACGATTTACAAGACCACACATTTCATCTTATTCTTTATATACAGCTATCGAATGGCTGGCTGTAAGTTATTTGCATGGCTTCTCCCTGTATATGAACTAAATACAAGCCAGTTCCCATAGAAATATAATAATTCATGATGTATCTCTTCATCAATATATCCCTTCCAAGACTCCCTTTGTTATAATAAATTACCTACTTTTCTGTTCCTTTTGATCCTGTAACGACTTTTAGTTTTTAATTTATTCTTATATCAAAAAATGTAGAAACAGAAAAAAAACCTTTATAAATATAAAAGAATGATAACAGCATTATTGAGAGATGCTGTATGCTGAGAGGTCTTTTATCTCCGCAATATTTTTTCGATTGTTTAACTCGTGAAATTTAGGATACTTACATGTACATGAGCTAATTTGCCAAGAATAGCTCGTCCAAGGTAAACTCTCTCCTGCAAATACTGAGAAGAGAAAAAGATGTCATGATCTTTTGCATCTGATGTATGTGCAGAAAAACTAACGTTCAAGATCTGGTCTTCAGAGTCCTAAAGGAATATTAAAGGTCATTGTATTTATATGTACCAATATAGGAAAAATACATATATTCTTAATTGTTATGCCAGTATACTGCATATTGAAATAACACTGTGGTATAAAATGATGTCCTAGCAAACTGTCAGTCTTTAAGTGGTTTTTGATGAGAATATCGTTAATTTGATTTTATTTCGCAAAAAGAAAATCCAAAATTTTACAACTCTTGGTTTCCTTCTTTTAAAATTAAACACCTTGTAACGAATTCTTCAAGTTTACTAAATAAGTTGTTAAAACGAAAGACTTTTATGAATCGCAAGTTTACATTCTCACGAAAGAAAGCAAAGAATTGATTTTATTTGTATTCTTCATAGAAATAACATTATCGAATCAAGATATAGTTCTCCCATAATTAATATCTAGAGTGATTTGTTTATTATTATGAGAAATGTCAGAGGAGTATCAGAAAAATTAACAAATTTCATTTAACGCATCGGTTTGAAAATATAATTTAAAATATATTGAGAAAATTCAAAAGTTTTCGTTACTTTTAATATGCATGTGCGTACGAACATGCACTCATAATTAAGACTCTAATAAATAAAAAAGCTATGAATAATGACTACATTTCTAATAAAGTCACTCTAAGTTATTTATTTGAGAAAACAATTGTCAGAGCAAATAGATTGCAGCATTGACTTCTACTATCATAGTGAAACTGGGAACTAAGTGAAAAGTTACCTGAATGCTAAAGATAAATATATTTTCTTTAGAACATGGAATTATTGCTGACAATCCTTCCACGAAATCTTCCAAAATGGGAGATAAGAAAGTTTCTGCTGTCATTCCTTGCAGACGCAGCGTTACGCTGTTAAATAATACGGCTTCTGTAACATGCTGAACTACTAATTCGCATTTCGCAGTAACTTCATTGATGCCATCTGAAAATATTTATTTGATTAGTTACATAAAGCATCGTATAGTTAAAAGTATAAATTAAGGGTATAATTTAGATAACTAAGATATTTTTAAATATGCTAGATCTTTTTTATTTTTGCTACCTGATTTACGGGCCTTCATTTGTGACCTAATTAAAATAAAATATTTGAGAAACCTTTTTCTGCCTAATGCATCTGAAGACGCCTCAATTTAGATATGAGATTTTAAACTTCCTTGCCTTACCAATCATTTCTAGCTCTTAGTTTTGAAATCATACCTTAAATTTATTACATACCTTATCTTTAGGTTAAAAAAAACACACATAATTTAGTGTAATAATTTAGTGTACTAAAGTATCTCCACAATTATTGCGCAATTAAATTTAAAAAGATCACGCTTTACATCAATAAAGATCATGATTGATTCATTGTCATAAACTTAAGAGTTCTAATCGATTACACTAGTCTATAAAAAAATCTCTTAAGCGCCACAAATGAAGCTTAGCTACACTATTTTTCTCCCACAGACAAAAACGCTTAGAAAAATCTGCATTTTCATACTTGAAAGAGAAAAACACATATTTTAACCAGGATTAATTCCAGAATGCTTGGTATCATTTCTCCATCAGTTTTATATTTTAATGGAAGAGTAAGAGTTTTTCTTTCTCATCATTAATTGCATTTACCGGAGATTAATTGCTTTTAGGAAACGATGTCTCTAATACTTATCATGATTATTTAATGAGCCCAGTCCTTATTCTGATCATCTAATAGCATCCGACGTGAGTTAAGCATACAAAGTCTACTGCAATTTTGCGTAGCTATTACTAACATAACAGAGGGTCGCCACCATAACAGAATGTATTTGGATGGCATTTACATCTACCAGACATTACGGTGATTAATTAATCCTGAATCTTTCCCGAACTTTCAATTTAAAGTGGAAAGGCTTTCATATATGCACTCTAAATCAGTGGTATGAAACTGGCGCCTCTAGAAACAATTTTATTTCGCCGGTGAATACATTTTCCCTAAATTAATTGACATTACGACAAAAATTTGAAGAAAATAATTTAAGACTTTAGTGGTTTTGAGTATAGTTTTACAGATCTTCATTATTAAAATGGATGTCAGTTACGCTCCAAAAAATTACGAAATGGAACTAATTAATTTACACTGTAATATGTATCTTATTCAAAGATTTGAAAATATAAATTTGACTAACTTTTATTAGTATTTGTCAAAAGCTAAATATATTTAGTTAAGAATTTTGCAATAACAAGGATGGCTTCACTTGCAAATGAAGTGTTTTTTTTTCCCATAAATGAAAATTGTTTACGAAAAGAACCAGACTGATCTATAAATTGATACGAATATCTACAGTTTGGTGATTACTATCTAGTAATTTTCCTCTAAGGTAAAACATTTTATGAAATCGAAAAAGGCCATGAGGTGTTGTGGCCGAATAATGTAGTAAGAAACAAAGAAATGTATAATTATTCAGATAAAAATGTGTATTTTCTCTGTATGCTTCATAGGTAAATGTAATAAATAAAAGAAAGAGTATAGGTTGTGATTATTCATTCTTACGAATTCTTACGATTCATTCTTTATTCTTTAAACAAATCAAATGTATGACTTGTGATTACAAATTAATACCTTTTGCTGTAATTAGATAACAGAAAATTAATTTAAATTTTAAATAGATTTGTAGCAGACGACTACAATCAAAATAGTCTAACTAAGCGTTGGCTCAAATTCTAAGAGTGCGATTTCAATTTAACTAGAAAAATGGCTAATGCCAAATAACTAACGTAACAGAGCTGGGCGAAACAATACTAGTATGTGAGCGTCGTTGCGAAACGCTCTGTCAATAAAACGCTCAGGAAATAAATTAATTGACATTAGTTCATTTACATCCTGGTGAGAGCTAACGAGAAATATAAGTAGAAGCATTGTACCAAATTGTAATGAAATATATTCTATAGACTGGTATGTGAACTATGTTCAAAAAATCAATTTCTCAATTTCAGTTTAAAAAAAAAAAAAAAAAAAAAAAAAAAAGTTCTGCTGATAACAAAAATATATCATTTATTATACTTTTTCTGTCGATAAAGATCATTATCTCGCATTTAAAGATATCCAATGTTTATATAAACTGCTATTTAAATGGCATAAGATATATCATTAATAGTGAAATAATATTTTTCATTTTCCCCCTTTATTTCTGTTTCATCATAGTTTCTATATTGCATGTATATTTACAGTGATAAAAGCACTAAATTAGGCTAGTTATCATGATAAAAGCACTAAATAACGCTATTAACAGGTAGGATGATAACAAAAGTATAATTAGAGCTTTTGATGATACAAGGCAAAAAGGGGGTATTCCTCTCAGAACAGGGCTATGTGTACAATATCACTATAAAATAGAAATGTTATCAGTTTTGAGTACTTATCTAAGTAGTTCTACATATTCCAAAATTAAAATCTAGAAGAAAACGGCTGCTTGAAAAACTTTGAAAGATATTTAGTATTAGCGTGAAAGCAACAGAATATGAAACCTATACAGGGTGTTTCATAGATCATGGGACAAACTTGGAGGGGTGGGTGAGCGTACTAAAACATGCATTTTTTGCATAGGAATGTAGGGTCTAAAGTGACGGGTTAAAACAGGAACGCAAAAAAACGACAAGAGAGGAAAATGTGTTTATGTACAAAATCAACGCAAAGTGCTTCTTTGCAGCAATACAGTATTTACAATAAATGTTCAAAAAAGGGAGCACTAACAGTAATGGGAACTACAGCTGTGATTGGCTGGCAATGCAGCGGTAGAGGGCGGTAAGTGAGCCGGACAAACCTCCATCCGATGCATCAGAGGATCATTCGCAACTCTGATGTCGAGCGTGATGGGTGAGTTTACGCACAGGGAAAAGCTGACACGCATCTCATGTATGGTGCTGCTAATGGGAACGGCAGAGCAGCGCTACGGTTGTACCAGGAACGATTTCCGAACAGGAACGAAGCACACAATGTTCGAGAGGTTGCATCGGTCTCTCTGTGAAAACGGGTCATTTGAAGCCACCTCTGATACCTAGGAGTGGAAGAAGAGCACGACAACTTGGCATTGAAGAATCCATCTTGAACATTGTGCATGAATCACCTCAGACAAGTACAAGAGCTATTGCACGTCGTCTTCAGCTGAGTCATTCCACCGTTTTGGAGAGTATTGCATGAAAATGATTGGCACCCATACCATTTGCAGAGAGTCCAAGCCTTGCAAGAGACAGATTACCCTTTTCGAGTTCACTTCTGTCATTGGTTCTTGCAAGCAGTGTGCGGCGCAGGCGGATGTACTATTCACGGACGAGGCAACTTTCTCACAGGACGGCATCTTCAATAGCCACAACATGCACGTATGGGCAACTCATAATCCACAAGGCACACGTCCACATGCATTCCAATCCCGCTTCTCCGTGAATGTGTGGGCGGGTATTGTTAACGACTACCTCATAGGCCCATACCTCTTACCTGCATGTACAAATGGCTTATGTTATCATATTTTTCTGCAAGAGTTGCTACCGGAATTGCTACAGGATGTTCTGGCTGTCGTTCGTGTTCGCGTGTGGTTTCAGCATGATGGTGCACCAGCCCATAACCACGTGAGGGTCCGCAATTACATTCCGGGATGAGACATTTCCGGGCCGATGGATTGGCCGTGGTGGACACGTTCGATGGCCACCCTGTTCGCCAGGTTTATCCAGCTTGGATTTTTTTATGGGGCCATCTGAAGGGTATCATTTACGAGACTCCCGTTGGCTCACTGGAGGACCACGCTGCAGGACTATCCATTGCAGCTGCAAGCGTGCGCGGAATGCCTGTCGTTTTTCAGAATGATCCTCAATCCCTTCTGCGACGTTATCAAGCATGTATTACTGCTGGTGGTCAAAATTTTGAACATTTATTGTGAATACTGTAATGCTGCAAAGAAGCACTTTCCGTTGATTTTGTACGTAAACACATTTTCCTCTCGTGTCGTTTTTGCGTTCCTGCCTTAACCTGTCACTTTAGACCGTACATTCCTATAAAAAAATGCATGTTTTAGTACGCTCCACCACCCCTCCAAGGTTGTCCCATGGTCTATGAAACACCTTGTATACCGCACCACATTTAATGAATTTTTCTGAGCATACCGTGTATTGCAGCGTTTTTTCTTCCTTTTACAAAGTAAAGGAAGTATCGTAGTATGTACATCTGTTTACAGAATAAAAATGTGTAATGTCTTAATGCTTTAGTCGCATTTTAATGTGATCGGCTTATCTTACTTAAAAACGAAGTAATAAAACATAACAAAAACGAATGACTTTTAATCACTTTTAAACTTTACCAGCACAGCAAAGTATAGCTTTATAGCAGAGTTTTATATTTCGCGTGTTGTAGCTGGTTTGCCTTAGTTGTTCAGGTGTTTGCAATCAGAGCGGTGGCAAGTATAATGTAAGGCTGCTTACTGCCGTTTTGATAACATTTAGCTGATCTGTATGAGAAATCAATGTAAAGATGTATTTTAAATAATGGTTTTTTAACTTGTGTTAAAAGTACAAAATTTGCATTCTCAAATTACGGTACTCACGACGAAAAAAAATTATATTAGTGTACTACATTTAATAATTTCCTTAGGATAGTGCAGGTACATAGTTAGTTAATCGAAGTTTTACTTTATTTACAACCAAGAATAATAAATAATTAAGCTCACAGACATTAGCCTTCAAGTTTTAAAAACTGTAATAAATCCTCAAATTGCGTTAACTTAAATGCATTTTGTATTAAAACAAAACGAATTGTCGAGAAAAACCAAATGTGGTGACGGGAAAGAAAATGTATGAATAGATAGTAGCAAAACTGCTCTAGAATGAATAGATAATAACGAAAGTGCATGGAACATAAACTATACCTTATTACAGTTGAAGGTTTTTTTATTCGTCATATGCGACTAAGTAAGATAA